GGGTCAGAGCATCTGCTCTGAATCCCCAGCAGTGGCTCCAGGGAAGGCGGGCAGTGTGGTGGGAAAGGCCTGTCCCAAGCCAGCGGACGCGTTACTTTGTGTGCTTACAATAAGGTGTGTTTTGTTGTTCTTTTTCCATCTTTAAACGTCTAATGCTCCACCGGGTTGGGGGACCAACGACCTAAGTGGAAACCGTAGTCTGCAGTCACGGTGAGAACAGAAACACCGGTCTCCGGGCACCTCAGCGTGTGTAAGTGCGTCCAGCTACAGATATGTGGGCACAGATGTTCTTCAAAAGCACCAACGCACACACCCTTAGATGTGGACACACACACGTAGATGCATGCTTCAAAAACCCCGTGGAAAATGGAATTTAAAAGTAAATAATTTTTTTCACGAATTTTATGAAGCCCTTATATACACACATATTGGCAGGGGAGAGGGGCCTTCAAAAATTTCATGGGAAAATTCCACAATCTTTCTATCGCATTTTCCACGAGCTTTGTGAAGACCCCGCCCGGTGTGTGTCTGTGGACGTATAGGGGCTTCTTCAAACACTTTGTGGAAGATGAAGTCAAAGGATCGTGGAGTTTTCCTAGGAACTTTTGAAGTCCCTGGTGTTAAGAGAAATGGCAGACTGGCAGCACCCGCCAGGTCGGTGCCTACTGAAGGCCCCTCGGTGTGAAATCCAGGGCCCAGAGCGACTCAGAAACACAAAGGAAAGACCAGGGGCAAAGCAGGCCAGGAGGGGAACAGCAGGGACAAGGAGGGAGGAGGCAACCACCGGACGGGTGACACCCACACCCACAACCACAACCTGAGCCATGTGTGTGGAAGGGGAAAATGGGAAGTAGGCTGGGAGTGTAAGCTTTTCACCAAATGACAATTTAAAAAAATTTTTTAAAGAAGACAACAATCAGATATGAAAACATCTGAAAGAAATTGTTAATGTCCATCTTATGACTCATTTACATTATCTCTAAAAGAACAAAAGAGATGAATATAAATCTTACTCATTCGGGGAAATAAATCCCAACCATGCTACTTTTCCTGGGTGTTGCCAACAAACGAAGCAGCATGAAATGCAGCCATTCCTCCTTCTACCACTTACTTACAGCCGGAGGGACCTGACCTGTGGCTAAACCTGCCCCACAGTGCCCACCCGGCACGCACTGCTCACGCACGTCCTGGTCGCTCTGTGGAATTCAATGTGAAATGCTCACAGCAGTTCCTAGTCTACTGATAAGATGCCGGTAAGAAGAAAGCTCAGTGCAAAACTAGAGAGCCCGTCCAGGACCTGGAGCAATGGGCTGGCCCTCTGAAAGGCAGCCCCTTCTCCGCAGTGGCTAAGCACAGGCTTTCTCCACAGCAACAGGGCACTCAGCTCTGGAATTCAAGAATGCTGAGCTCAGAGCACCAGCCCCCCGCCCCCGCCCCAGCCCCCTAACTGCAATGAACATGAGAAGGGGGGTGTCACCATCCCCGTGCCCTGGGCTTCCCACACTTGCCTGCCCCTCCTCACCCCCTGGAGAAAAGCAAAGCCAGACACAGGAGCAAGGTTTGTGGGCACACCAGGGGATGGCCAGAGAGCAGGACAGAAAGCCAGCCCCCTAGAGAAAGGAACCTAGAAAGAGGATGTGCCCATCGATCAGTGGGGGGACAGCCGGTGAAGCCGGGCCGTGGCTCAGCAAACACGCCTGGTTGAAAGGGTCTGGTCTTCAGGCTCTAGGTGCTGAGAGAGAAACACCATCTTCACCGCTGGAGGGAGGGGAGGGGGCATTCCCTCTTCAGAAATGACTGACAACTGGCCTGATGGAGCCCCCAGCCCCCCTTACCAGGCCGTTGGTGTGGTTGCACATGTCCCACAGCGGGATCAGTGCCAGCGTCACCCGAGAGCCATCCTCCGTGGGGATCTGGTTTTGTCTTGTCATCACGGACGACACAGCCCACCTGTGAGACCGGGAGGGGGCTAAAGTCAGAACATGTGAAGTCTCCCTGTGAGAAGAGGCATGCCCCAGACCACCAACCCCTCTTCCTCAGGGACCAGGGTCATGTGGGTGCCCTCGAGGTCATTTCAAACCAGTCAAAGGCTCAGGGGCCATCCATTGGTGGGGGCTAGAAGAAGGGCGAGCCTAGGAGTCCAGGGACTGGGGACCTCAAGTGATTCCAAGGGCCTGGCCCCCCAGCCCTGAACTCCTGATGGGCCTTTCCCTGTAGACCAGATGGCACACCTTGTCCTCCTGTGGCCATGCTGACTGTGGCCACAAAGGACAGGGGTTCTCCCGTTGAGCAGCAGTGAGCTCAAGCGTCTATGGGACACTGGCAAAGGCCACTTAGGAGGAAAAGGGAAAACTGTGGTGTCCACCTCACACCCAGTCTGGCCCCACAGCCTCACTGGATCCCAAGGGACGGCCAGCCCAACCACCACTGGCTCTGACTTCAGAAAGATGGGCTGTGTCCACGCTTCCCACCCACGGCCACCCACCACAGGCCACCCCCTCCAGAGATCCCACCTTCATGAAGGAACCCCAGCACTGACCACGTGTGCAGCACCCCTGCTCGACCACGTGCCTTGCGCCAGCACACCCACCTGTAGTCATCGTAAGTGAAAGAGTCCTTCAAGGGCAGTTTGCTGGCGTGAGGATGGGTCTGGGAATTCCATGTCGGAGAGAGCCAAGGTGGAAACAGAGAAGCGGGAAAACCAATCAGTCAGCAGAATTGCATTATTCCGCCGCTAACAGATCCTAACAAGAGCCAAATGAAGCAGGAGGCGTCCGGGCCGCTCCGAGGGATCATCACACGATTACGCTCTCATACATCACTGTCAGCTTAATTTGTGGTGCCCAGCAGCCGCCGCGAATCTGCTGCTTCGTATTCGGCACCGGAACCCACAGACGCTGTGCAAAGACAAACCGAAGGTAGGCTGACTTGACAAGGGGAAGGCAGACCCAGGCCTGCGGGGGCACCAGCCAGCAGGAGCACGGGGCCTGGGTGCCCAGTGCCAGCCTGGCGTCTCCGTCCCTTTGTGCCTGAGGATGTGGCAGAAAGGGCTCTGGGACCAGGGTGAGCATTCTCGAAACTGCCTGCCTGCCCTCTGACCATCTGGATGGGGGCCAGCCTGTTAGGTGCAAACATATCCCACTCACACAGCGGGCGAGTGGCACCACACAGAACCCCAGGAAACCACAAAAAAACATTTCCAAACATCAGAATCTGATAATCGAGGATCGCAATCTGTAAATCTTAATCCCCTCACACGCACACACACACACCCCGCTCTTCTGGACAAAAGCAAAGACGGCTGGATGAGAACACCCCAAACTGCACACTGAACAGACACTCTCCTCCGTGTCTGCTCTCTTCACGACGCCCCCGACGCCCCCACCTTAGATCTTGCAAGCACTTAAAAAACTTTGTCTCAATTAAGAAATTAAAAGCTGCAACTGTGTCATTTTAATCTTCAGTTTCAATTACAGGCTGATAGACAGATTGCAGTAAGTGATCAAAGCAACAAACTGCGTTACTCGTCTGCAAACGCGGAGGCCGGCTGGAGCTGTCCCCGCACCCGGCCGCCTGATGCTCCGTCACCCTCCCGTAATGTACTCTCTGGCACTGCACAGGGGACAGTGGGGGTGAGGTAAAAGTGGCATGAGCCGTAAATCAATTAGGAAACAAAAGCTTGTGCTGGAGCGTAATTTTCAGCAAATTATAGATGACGAACGGCTGCCAAGTGGGCCTCCTGGTGCAGCCCGGCTTCCCACTCGGGAAGGGCAGTGGGAGCCAGGAAGGTGTGCTCGCCAAGATCCACCGGAAGGGAGAGCACTTTTCAGTGGGCACAGAGGCAAGCCCGAAACAAGGACAATGGCCAAACCAGGGCCCAGGAAGAGGGTCTCCTCCCTCCAAGACCAGATGGGGTGGGGGAGTCTTGGGGGCACTAAGGCCCCTTTCACTTGTTAATGACTGACCTGGGGCCACAGGGCCACTCCTTATTTAAGCTCACCATAACCAGAGACCAAGGTTTCACCACAAGCAGCATGGGATTGAACAAGTAAGAACCATTTGCCCCCTCAAAACGGATTTCGTAATTCGAAGGCCCACAGAAAAACCCAAGGGATTTGACAGGCAGTGCTCCTGCTAAACTGTCCTGTCACCAAGGCCAATGGAAAGAGCCCAGTGTAAACACCAGAAGAGGCAGCTAGCTGGGCTGTGTGGTGTGCACTTCGACTGCGGAGCTCACTATGAAATTTTGGAAGCTGGTAAATTCCAACATCAAATCCCCAAGGCACTGACAAGGTAACACCCTAGGCCTCCCGCCCCCCATTTTTTAAATGAAATACGGGGACCGTCAGAAACTTTCGAAACTGGGCTGCTAACCACCAAGATGACCTGGTAAAGAAACCTCTGACATGCAACAGCTCTGACGCGCACTCACAGGCCACCCGCCCCTCGGGCTTCCGGAGAAGCCTGTGGCCTGTGTTTCCGCTGGAGCTCACAGTCCGATGAAGTCAGGCAGAAACCCCAGGACAAACAACCTGGAGACTTGTTTTCAGGCTGTTTCTGAAGTCATTTTGGCTGTGTGGTTGTGTAACCTTGCAGAGCCTGTTAGAAACAGTCGTTCTCAACCGCTTTAAGAAAAAAACAGGGTGTGCGTGCTCTACTTAATTCTGGTATAAAAAGCCATTCTGCCAGAGAAACAAGCACTTAACAGTTATGCCGGAGCACAATTGGACACCAGGAGAAAGTAGAGAACTCCCGCGGCCACTGCTCTCGCCTGTGACACCACCGCCACCTACTGGCTTGTGGCGGAGTGGCCGGCGGCTTCCGCTGCACTGCCTCCGGAAGGGTTGTCAGTCTTCCCTCTGAACATGAGACCATGTGATGGTTTCCCAGGACCCTGAAACGCCCAAATCTCATAAGTGATTTGCATGACAGAAAACACCGACCTGTGAACATAAACGTCTTCACATCCTTGAAAAAACAAACAAGAACACAACTTTTTTCCCTCTTTAAACATCGTCCTGTTTCTTCCCCGCTGAGGACTGGGTTAAGGGCAAAGCACGCATCTTCCAACAACAGGGGCATTCATCTAACGTTTCCCGAAAACCCCTGGAACGGGCTTGGCTGGCTCTCAGGGGTGGAGAGCCAGGAGCAGGACTGACTGAGGCACCTCCATCCTTAGGGCCAAACCCTGGCCTATCTGCTCACCTCCAGAACCCTTCCTGAAGAAAGCACTTCCTACCTATATTTAAAGGGGCGGAATGAAAACAGAGAAGGCCCATCATGCTGACCCTCCGTTTAGCTTCCTGGACATGGGAACACATGGGGTTGAGGGTGGAGATGGGGTCCTCACGGGCCACCGTCAGCCAGACCACAGACATGGCCCCCACAAAGCAGGCCCAGAGTGGCCGGAGGCTACCCAGCACTGAGCACTAGCCCAGCCACAGGCTGCCTTGTGTGTGGTAGTGGCCACTCTCATCCTACTTCCCTCAACAGAATTCACATGGGAAGTTGGAGAAGCAGGCTGTGGTCTCCAAATGCCAAGCCCCGCAGCCCGGCTCGGCTGGAGACGCTCCACCTGCGCCTGGGACCAAACAGTCGCCACGTTTGCACAAGATCCCCATCTCAAATTGTTTGTTTGGCTTCAATAAAAAGGAGTGATATTGCTAAAGACGTGAGTATGACATTTTGAAGAATTTACCATACTGCACGGGCCCGGTGGCGATGCTTAAGGAAATTAAAAAGCACTCCAGTCAGCATACTTGATCCTTATTAAAGTTCTGCCGTGAACTATCACTCACGTAAAACAAAAATAAACCAAGAAGAAATTTAAATAAAACCTACGGAGTACAAAGAGCTGGAAGCTGGGGGTGGTGGGCTGGGGGAGGGAGGAGGGACGGGAGACGATGAGCAATCTTCCGGCTTAAAAAAAAAAATTGATTTCGCATGCAGCTTCTCTTCACAGTCCCCTGATAAAAATGAAATCTCCCTAACAAACGCTTAATAAAACCTGTCAATATCTCTGGGAAGAAAAATGACACAAATGCATTAAGTATTAAATACCCTTGGAAAAAGCCAGATATTCCATGAATTTTTGATGCACTATCTTGACATTAATGTAAAACCTTGATATTTGTAATTGACAGAGATTTAATAAAGCATAAAGGAAGATGGCCGCCGCGCAGCACACCAACGCTCCAGGTTGATGGGAAGCACCAGAAACGGGCGTGCGCTTACACTCCGTCAACAGTCCGTGGACATCAACAGTCCGTGTGTGGTCCACGAGTCAGCTGCAGGCTTATTTTAAGCTCAGACAACAAACCTTTGTGGAGAACCAAAATGAGCAGAAGGCGCTCTCCCGTGCATCCTGATTCAGGAGCATCTCCTGCGCAATCACTGTGAAGCACCAACCGCTCGGCACAGCAACAAACTCCATTCCGGTTCGCTGGCTTTTGTTTTCTTGTGTGTGGGAGTGCGTGCGTTTCTTTTGTTGATTTAAAAAAAAAACCCACCTAAAACATTTTACGATAAGCATTTTAAAAATAAAAGATATGCACTTAGAAACTTAAAAACCCCAAGTGCTTCCTGAAGCAATTCTCAAAGGGAACCTATCTCACTAAAAGACTGGCTCTGCAAGAGGAAGCGGGTGAAAGCCCAAGGGCAGCCTCTCGCGCCTCCAACCACAACTTCCTGTTTCCAGAACATTCGCCTCTCTAAGACCAATTGCCAAAAAATATATATAAGAAAGGAGTTCAATTCCTGAAATAATCACCTTCAACCAGACATTCAAATAGATGAAAAGGTCCTTGGGTTCATAAAAATGACTATGAAAAAAAAATGACTATGTTCTGGATTTTCAAGAATTTTTCGCAGGCTATATAATTCATCCTTGATGGTTAATTTTGCAAAATATCTAAGGTCATTCAATGACTTACTGATGGGACTCAGAATTGGAGATAACAAAATACGAGGCAGTGCCACAAAGTCCGTGGGAGATTCCATGATCGTATTTCCCCACACCTTTTGACACCCCTGGTGTAACTGGGAAGTGGTACCCAGCTTGTTCAGAATAAAACCACCAACCAACTCAGCCCCGTGCAATGCAGTCGTCAGACTGGACGGCAGGACGGCGACTGCACGTGTGAGAACGAGCCCAGGTGGTGTGTTCATCACACTGAACGGAAGGCAGGACGCTCGACTCCTGCAGACAGGTACAGCCTGGGACACTCACAAGGGCACTTCTGGCCTGTCCTCCCGGGTCTCGAGGAGTTGAAATCAACTCAATGGCTTTGAGGGTTTTGTTTAGGGGTTGGTTTGGTTTGTATGAGTTTCGTAAGCACATATTGAATGTGAAAGGTTAGCTGAGGGTACTTATCTCGGCCACAGACCCCTAGCTCCTCTCCCTCCTCGGTTCTGACTCCTAAGAGACTCCTTCCTCCCTCCAGGCAGGGTGGCTGGTGGGTTTGAATAGCCAATTTTGCAGTCAGCGCCGGGCGCTCAGGTGCTGCCACCAGAGCCCCTTCCTCTCGTTTCTGCAAGGGCACCGTCAGCAGCCAGACCCCAGATGGGACCTTTGTCAGGCGAGTGCAATTACCAGTTTCAGAAACGTCCCCACCCCTCAAAACAAGGTGGTCTCTGGTCCCTGCAAGCCC